GATTTCTTCTCTCCCTCTGAAAGAATAATGGTTACTCTGTTGATTTGCTGCCCAAATGATCAGTCCAATGCTGAGAGGCATGATCAGGTCCCCCAATACTATCATAGAGCAGATGCTTCTCCCGTCACTCTGAAATGGGCTTGTGGAGAGAAACATCCTCCTCCTTTCTTTATCTCTGCTGGTGACTCTCCTTGTGTCAACGCACTCCAGTGGCTGGAGGACTGTCTGCATGGTGGTTGTGGCATCTAGCCGCCTTTGTGGCAGCTGTGGTTATTATAGTGGCTGTGGTGGGCCACGCACATGGAGGAGATGTTTTTGGCATGTTCCTTGGTGCTGGCATGTGCCTGGTTGTGGAGAGTGTCTGATCCCCAGCTCCATGCCCAGGTCCCCGTGTGAGTCCTGAGACACTGGCACAGTGAGCCTGGTTGTGGGAGGGGGGTCCAGTCCCCTTCTCCATGCCCTAGGTCCCCAGGCGGGCCCCGAGGCACTGGCATGATGAGCCTGGTTATGGGAGGGGGGTCCAGTCCTCTTCTCCATGCCCCAGGTGGGCCCCAAGGTGCTGGTGCTATGAGCCTGGTTGTGGGAGGGGGTTCTGGTCCCTGGCTCCATACCCCGGGTCCCTGGGCGGGCCCTGAGGCACTGGCACAGTGTGCCTGGTTGTGGGAAGAGGATCCGGTCTCCGGCTGCTAGCCCTGGGTCCTGAGGCAGGTCCTGAGGCGGGCCCCAAGGCATTGGTGGTGTGCCTGGATGTGGGAGTGGGGTCTGGTACCTGGCTCCAATCCTCGGGTTCCTGGGCAGGGCCCCAAGGTGCTGGCAGTGTGAGTGGTTGTGGGCAGGGGTCTTGTCCCTGGCTCCATGCCTCATGTCCCCTGGTGGGCCCCAAGGCATTGGTGGTGTGCTTGGGCTGGAACTAATTTTTTGTCCTTTGCTTCTAAAGTCTGGGCCATCTTTTTAAAATCTACTCTTTAATTTCTGTTCTCCGAGGTGGTTGTTCTCAGGGTTTCCACTCCCTGGACTTCCTAGATTTCTCCTACCATGTGCCTTTAACAGTCATCTTGGTCTCTGCACAAGTGACACATCTCAACCTCTGTACCTGACCCCTCTACCAGACTCCAGAGTCTCTGCCTACTCCTTACCTGTTATGTCATCAAAATGCCTGTTGTAGTATGTCCAGGTCATTCCTTAAAGGAACTTTGGCCATTGTCATAGATGTCCTAAAATCTTACCAGACCATATCCTTGATTCTCAGAACTAAAAACTTGTGTGGCTGTTTCACTTATGAATGTGAACAAACTTGGGGGAGAAATTCCAGACAACAGTAAAAAGTAAAGTTATTCTTGAACATCTGTTGCTCTGGATTCCTTTGCTGGGCTTTGTGAGTACTTATTTCCTGATGGATACCAGGCTAGACCCTGAGGATACTGGGATTAGTAGAACACAAAGTAGCTTCCTTCTAGAGAGCTTTCAGTCTGGTTAGGAACATTGGTGGGGGTCCAGGGGTGGTGGTGGTGACATAATTAAAGCAGTGTGATGAGTGTTCTAGAAGTGGGTGCATAATTCTGTTGAGAGCACTAGGAAAGAAATAAAGATGCTGTCATTTGAGTAGAGTCTTAAAGGAAAGATGTTTTCACCCGAGGAACCATATGTATACAAAGGCAAAGAGTTGAGAAAAAGTAACCATGGTATCTTAGGGGTGCATAGACTAGCACGTCTGGAAAGGAAGGAGTTCTCATTCTATGATTCATTCAGGTTTTTCTAGACTACTTAAATAAGCCTGTAGTCAATATTAAGATAAGTGGTGATTATCAATATAACTATTAAAGTAAGATTCTGGAAACTCTTTTAATTTATTGATAACATTTTTAAAGATTTTTTTTTTTTTTTTGCATTTTCATATGTTTAAAATTTTGGGGATTTTAACAGTTTCTTGACAATATATGTTCATATTATATGGAGTTTTTTTCCCTATTATCTAGAAACAGTATTTAATTGGGACCAAGATAATGACCCCTGTAGGCTTGTATTCAGGAGCCTCTGTGTGCAGTATGGCTAAAAATCTAGTAGACCACCATTCAGGAGCTCTGAGTTCACATTCCATTCTCATTACTTGCTGATAAATGATGCCTACCTTTTAATTACCTAATTTGTAAAATGCAAATTATAATACCTGTCCTGCCTCCTTTCCTGGGTTTTTGCAAATAGCCCTGGTTCAAGGGTAGGGTGTTTTCCTTTAGGTAAAACTTGGTAGATATTAGTAGTCTTGCAGCTGAGTACAAAAATGTGACATTAAGATTGGTATCTAGGGTTTATGAGGAACACTTTGTGTAGTGGGAATTCTGGAAAGAAGAAATAGAAAGGAACATTCCTGCAGCCATGGAAGGCATTGGTAGGGGAAGTCGAAAAGTAGCAAGATGAATTTTGCCATTGGCAAGCTTTCGATGGGGTTTCACTGACTCTATCTATGATGACAAAGTGAAGTCAAAAAGAGGTTTAGCTCCAAAACTGGCCTGAGTTCAAATTCTAGCTTTTGCTAAGTTTTGACTTGGGGTAAGTTCCTTCTTTTCTTTAGGCCTTGCTTTACTCTACTGTAAAATAAATAATATCTACCTCAGAGGATTATTGTGAGAATCAATTGTGATAATGAGTAGAAAGGTCCAAAAGGAAGGGGGGGAGGTAGATTAAGGTAAAAGGGTGATCCTTCCCTCCTCTTCAGCTAAAATGCTTTTCTTTTGTTATCATTTCACCACAGGGATACATAGCTGTTTATCCAGGATAAACAAATTCAAAATGTGATTATTAGCAACATGCCTATAACACATACATATCCCCCATAACTATTCATTTATTCCCCAAATGAATATTACATGCAACTGTGCAAGTTGCTA